CGTAGTATAAACTAAAATAAAAGAGAAATCGTGAATGATACTACCATGTTTGTCAAGGTCAGTACAGCCAGTAAGTATATGTACATAAGCTGTTTCTTCGAGGTGAACCAAAAGGACATAATAAATGTTCCCACATCGGCAGTTCAACACATAAGCTCTAGTTTTATGAGCTTCATACCAGGAGCACATCCGCTTTCAAGCCTGTCGGACAGACTTTCCCTTCTTTTTTTTGTTTGGAAGCTTATCTGCCTAGCATTGTTGTAACAAAGATCACAACTATTGTCCACTTGCACATAAGTTGTTCGTGTGATGTTCAATTTTAAGATGAAAATTATTTTAAAACATACAAATATCTTTTTCACTTAAAAGGGAATTTTATAACCAATAATATAGAAAAGAAAGTATTATAATTACTATTTGAGATAGGTAACTCTATCCTATAAATTTTAGATATGATTATCTAAAAAATTATTTATAGCTATGTCATTTTATATGAAAGTTTATTTATACATTATAGAAAAAATGACTATAACCTGAAAAAACATGATAGCATAAAATATAAATATCATTACACCAATTAAAAAATAACGCCCCAGGCAGGCATATAATTGTAAGACTTACGCCCTATAGATGTCCGCCTTTAATTTGCGCCCCGGAGCATTTTTTATACAACCCGCTCCGAGAATCACCCTGAAAACGTTTTTGAAAACACTGTTCACAAATATTTGACTTCGCGCTTATTGATTGATCTCAATCTCAACTAGCACTTCACTGAGGTATTGTGTGATGGAACACTTTCAGTTTTAGTACATTTTAGTTCTACATGATCTATATGTTTTGATCCTTCTAAGTTTGGGAAGTGTCGATTCTGGAGTAATACATCATAAGATAAGGAATGAGAGAAAAATCAAATAATTGCAACCACTAGAAAATCAAAATCTTTATGAGCATATGTAACAATTTCGCCACAAAAATTGAATTGACATAAAACGAATGATAAATAATTTCCTGAATTCAAGATCAGCACAAGTCGAAAATCCTTCCTTGTCATGACATGAGAGATATCCACCCGCATTTACACCATTCTTGATGAAATCTCAACACATGAGAAGGGTATGCAATGTTATCTTCAGTTGTTGGGAAATAGACATAGTACTCTTCTCCACTTTTCCCACTGATACATCCAAACCACCATCCATCATTGGCATACACATCAACAATATCGTATACACGGAATCCTTTTTCTGACATTGTTTCATCTTGATGAGGTGGAATAGGACGGACCTCGCCTGCAGTGACCACCTCCTCCAGCAGTTCAGACTCATCATCAGTCAACATAGTCTTGTACTTGACGATGTAATGATTAGCGTCAAGCTTAGAAAGAATAGTTGCTGTGTAGTAAGAGCCTACGAATCCATCTTCGTGACTTGCCACTTCAACTTCATCACCCTTTTCGAATTCTTTTGTTATATTTTGTTTCTTTGATGTTATTGATTTTATTGACGTTGAGATCTCTGCCATTCTTGATTGATGGCGTTGCTCTTTAGTAACTCTCACTCTGATTCGGGCCATTATTGCGGACTCTACTGGAGATTGATTGTCTCGAATGAAAAACTGAGAAACTATTAGGCTTTGCTACTGAATTTATTGTTGGCAGAGAATTCTGTTTCCTTCGGTTCTTATTGGGGTTTAAAAGTGGTGAATGGAAAATGAAGGGTTGTCATTTTTCTGGAAAGTTGTGATTATTCGGAAGAGTTGTGATTTTTCCAAAAGATTGTGACTTACTCAAAAGGTTGTAATATTTCTGAAAGATTGTGACTTTTCCAAAGTGATAGAGGAGTTTTCCTCATTTTTGGGATTTGAATTGAATGAATGATTTTTCTTCTTCTTCTGCATATGCATATATTTTCTTACACACAAAGTCGAGTCTTTGTGTGATTTTGTTGTGACTAAAGTTTGAGGTGTCCCTGCTTCTTTAACAAATATATATGTTTTATCCCTTTCTTAACGACACAATGAATTATGTGGTCTCGGATATTATTTCTTTTCTTCTTAAAAGGATTTCTGGTTTACTACTTTGAACACAGTTACTAACCGTTCTTCCTACTGGGAATTGGTTTGATTTAACCTTATTGTATAATTATTTTTCTATAATGAATCAAAAATCAGCGAAGCTTTTGTTGCACTAGAGACTTGGAGATTGCGCACTGTAGTCAGCGACACTCCATCAGGGGCCAACATATTGTTCCCACATCGGCAGTGCAATACAGAAGGTCCAGCTTTATGAGGCTTCTTACCAGTTTCGTATGTCACGACCTTACTTGAACAGGATCTGTTCTATAGGCTCGTACCACTGTATCCTTGATTTCTAAGGAGACAGGAAACCAAATCTGGTTGATGAAGCATGGCCATGTGACCAGAGCGTGATTAACAGCCACCCATGGCTCCTCGAGCTGTGGTTGCAGTAGATGATCGTTCTTAGACCTGATCTCAGGCTTGAGATGGTCTCATGGCTGTCTGACAGATTATAATTCTTTTTGCCCATTTGAGTGCTTAGCCGGTATTTTTCAGTCCCGGAATCTTTCAATGTCTTGGTAATTAATCATTTGCAACTTGTGAAAAAGATATTTGCTTGTATTATATTTGTATGTTTAACCTAATATACATCATGAATTGAAAATCTGCTAAGGGGTCAATGTCTAGCTTTAACCCCATTATAATGGTGATTTGTGATTAAAATTGATATTAATAAAGAGATAAGTGTCAAAAACACACTTAAACTATATCCTTTTTTTGAGTTTCATACCTAAACTTTCACTTTTTAGTTTGAAAAACACACATCTCTCTTTTATATCACTCTCATCATGGTGTGTATAATACACTCTCTCTTTTATTTTAAAGAATTTCCACATCACACTCCACATGAACAAAACATTCAACCTTGACAAAAAATAAATAAATTATTAGTAGTAGTTAAAATTAAAAATTAAAAAATTATTATCCAAACAAATAATATTTCTTTTATAAAATAAAATGTAAAATATTTTTCTTACCCCACTCCATCACTTCCTCACCCCCCCACCCCCCACCCCCGGCCATTTTTTTTATTTTTTTTTAAAATTTCTTTTATAAAAGTATTTAATTTTTTACTTCATCTCCTCCCCCTCCCCCTCCCCCTCAAATACTAATTTAGATATTATTTTATTTTTTTAAAAAAATAATTCTACCCACCCCACCTAACCCTCCGCTTCCAAATTTTTTTCTCCTTGTTAGATATATACATATCGAAAATATTTTTTACTCGCCGCTGCAAGATTTTTTTAATTTTTTTGTTTATTTATGTTATATTCGGTACACTAGTAGAATATTTTTTTTCTAAAAATATATGTATGAACATATCTAACACAAAATGAGAAAATATAAAAAAAATAAAAATTAGGAGCGGAGGGTTAAATAGGATGGGGTAAAATTTTTATTTTTTTAAAATAAAATAATATCAAATTATTAGTTTTTTTTTTTTGGGGGGGGGGGGGGAGAATGAGTGGGTGGTGTTTTTTGGGAGGGAGGGGAGGGTGAAGTATGAATTTTTTAAACATATTTTATAAAATAATTTTTTTTAAAAAGGGATGGGGTTGTCGGGGTGAGGGGGGTACATGGAGGAGGTGGGGTAAGAAAAATAATTTTTATTTTTATTTTTATGGATAGTAATATTTTAATCTTTAATTTTTAATTAATATTAATAATTTATTTAATTTTTGTCAAGATGGAATATTTTATCCATGTTGAATGTCATGTGTCAAGGTTTTTTCAAATAAAAAAGAGAGTGCATTACACACACCACTGAGGTATGTTTCTCAAACTAAAAAATGATAGTTTGGGTATAAAACTCACACTCCAATAGATTAGATATGAAACTAAAAAAAAAAAAAAATTTAGGTGTATTTTTCACACTTATCTCATTAATAAATTTACATCACAAAAAACTCAACATAAGAAAGATTTAATGAAACTAGTAACTCTTTCTTTTCTTTGGAGTTTCCAATACTTATCCCTGAATGAGCATGTAGAGAAAGTCAAGTCAACTACTGCGTATTGGATATTCCAGCCACTTGTGAATTGTGATCAAGTTGCTCCTCAACTCAATCATAAATGAACTTTTCTTATAATCATGTCCGAACTAATTTGGATACACCTCGACTATTTTATCATGCATCTTTCATGAAACATGTAACTCTATCCGCTAAGACTTTAGCCGATGAAAAAAAATTCTAATGAACTTTTTTTGCTTCTATTGAGATTTTTTTTTCTTTTACCCCTCCTAAGTCCTAGGAGCTCCTACTTTTTTGCTATCTTAATGACTCGAATCCACAACTATTTGAGCAACCTACTACTGCATCACGTTGGTGGCTTCTGGGTCCAACTCAGAATACTTAAATGTCATATGGAATTAAAATAGACCATCTAATTTATTGCAGGTGAAGTAGAGAATTCCAGGTTAGGATGTGTAATAAACTAGGTCAACACTCGCTCATTTTTTATATTTTATTTTTTTAGAAAGGTAACTATATCACTTGCACACTATAACCCATAATTCGTTTTTCTTTCCTTCTAACAACATTATATCTGAAATTGAATATGCTTTTAATGTATCATAATCTTATGAAGAAACTAGAGAGTACCAACATGGGTTATTGAGCAGTTGTGAGACTGTTTCAACCTTAATCAGAGTTTTTGGGTTCGAACCCTCGGTACGGAGAAAATTTTGTTGGGAGCGCCACCTCCGAATGGGACAGTGCACAATCCGAATTTAGTTGGGGCTCCAATGTGGGCTCCGGACACCGGGTGGGAAAAAAAAAACCTAGAGAGCCACCAACCATAACCCCCCCTCCCCACAGACACACAATGAAAACTTGAAGTAAACATCCTATGAGAATTGGTCAAAGAAGAACCAATCAATGCTGTTTGCATTACTGCACACGTCCCAATCAGTGACACAAACCGTGTTGGGTATAGACTTAATCCCATAAATTCCAAAAGTCAACTGGTTGCCACTCTGTCTTAGCTACAGTTCATCCCCTAATCACCTCCTTTTTATAACAATTAATTCTCCAAATCAGAACAGTAAAGAGGGAAAAAATAGGAGAAAAGAGGCAAGAAGATGGGAAGGGTGAAACTGAACAATGATCCAACTTCAAGCCTAAAGCACTTTAGTCATCCACATGAATTGGAGTTATGCACCCAACTCCAAGATCTAAGCCCTTGTTCAGGATGCAGACTTCCACCATCAGGCCAAATGTACATATGTAGGCCTTGCAACTTCACTCTTCATTTAAGCTGTGCTAAATTCCCACAGCTGATTACTCACCCCTCTCATCCGAACCACCCTCTCAACCTCCTCCCAACGTCCAAATACCCCGGTGGCCAGTTCAATTGTGATGCCTGTAAACGCCATGGAACCGGCTTTAGCTACCATTGCAGTTATTGTGAGTTTGATCTCCATGTGATTTGTGCATCTAAACCCCTCAAAATCACACACGAACTGCACCAATGCTCGCTTGAACTCACCTTCAAGAATCCTTATGCTAATGCCAAAGGCTTCTCTTGTGATGTATGCCGCAAGATTGGAGTCAAGCAGTGGCTTTATAGATGTCCTGCTTGTGAGTTTGATGTTCATTTGGATTGTTTAACTTCTGCCCCTAGGCAGGAAGCTTCACAGTCAACTACCCTCCAGCACCACCATTCATTCCCAGGGGCTCCTAACCAATTCCAGCAGGCTACTGTGGGTAGACAAGCAAGGTCACAGCATTTGATGCATGCCGCAAGCACAGGTGCAATAACTAACAACCATGCTCTACAGCCTACAGTATTTCAAGGACAAGCGAGGCCAAACCAGCTGTTTCATAGTGCTAGTACAAGTGCAGTTCCGCAGCAACAGTTCCTACAACCTCCTATAACTCAAGGACAAGCAAGGCCAAACCAGTTGTTTCATAGTGCTAGTACAAGTGCAGTTCCACAGCAACAGTTCCTGCAACCTACTATGATTCAAGGACAAGTGAGGCCAAACCAGTATATGCAGACTCCAGGATTCGGGAATAATTTAATGAATGCTGCAATACAAGGACTTGTAGAAGGTGCAGCTCAACAGGCTGGTCAGACTTTCATGCAGGGGATCATAGGTGGTGGTGACAATAATGGTGGAAATGAAGGATCATCAATCCTGGGAGGCATTTTTGGTGACTCGTCAGACACGCAATACTAGATTACATATATTATTTATTTCCATTTTACTTGTCTGAGTATAACAGGTTAGGTTCGGGGTCAAATATAAAACTCCGCAAGGGATCACTCTTTGGTGGGGTTGTTTTGGTTGAAAAGTAGATATATGCTTTTGCATCTTGGTGTTTGGGTTGTATGCTATAATTAATTTGTCAAAATCAGAGCCTTTGGCTTAAACTATGCAATATTGCACAAGTAATAAGTCCTATTAAGAATGGTTATATGTTATTGATTCTACTATATTGAGATTTCTCATTCATTATTCAGAATCAAGGTGATTACTGAGAATGGAAGGAGGCAAATGTGAAAAATCCTCCACCATTTCCTCTTTTTGTTAAGATGGATGATCCTAACTCAACATCATTTAATAGTCAAAAGCTAGGGGTTCATGGTCAGAGATACGGCTTTATAGAACTATAAACTTTTTAAATCATAACATTCCATGGAGAGGTTACCATGATTCTAGCAAATTATATAACAATCTGAATAATATTATGCTTTTTTACATATCAATAGTGTAAAGACATCTGCATTGAAGAAAACCAATTGCAGTACTAGTGTTAAGACACGAAACAGAGTGAAAAAGGAGGGAAGTGGGCAGGGCATTAACCATTGACATGTTTGAATCATATCTACGTTGCGATATATCCAGGATAAAAAAACCTGTATCCAACTAAAACAGAACGAAGAAGACAGCACAACTATGTATGGAGCATCTTATCCACATACTTAAAGCAGCAAAGAGCAAAAGGAAACTATACTATTTCAGAAATTTGAGAACGACTACATCGAGGAAACTAAAAAATGAGATGTATTCCTATTTGGTAGAATCTTTGTAGCCAAGTTAAATCAGCTTTGATGAAGTGAACATAGCCTTTTCAACAGACTTGTTTTTGCGTAGACTTTCGTGAAGTTCTCTTCATCCCAACCTTGTATTTTACTACCTGTCCTTTCCCAGGAAGGTGAAGTAGTTCAAATTACAGGAATCTTCTAGCTGATAATTTGTGGCAGTCATAATTTGAGGTTCAGGAAAAAAAACAGAACTTGGAAGAAACCGAAACAGATTTCACCATTCAGGTACAATTTTGACTGGAAGAAAATTGACACCATCCTCAATGATTGGGAACATAGTTAAGAATGATCACTTGCAAATTAAGTTGGTTTAATACAAAATTTCAGGAGCAGTTATAAACTATACGTATGGGGAATCAACAAAATGAGAGGAGAAGCCAGAAAAGAAAATACAACATTTGCCTGCTAGTTTAAATGTCTGTAATCAGGAGGCAGCTTCCTTAGCTTCTTCTGCTGCCTCCTCCTCTCGTAGCTTCTTCAAAGAGGGGGGTGGTCTAGGGACAATGCTTTTCTTCCATTTCCGGTCGAGCTTCCTGGATATCCTCTTGTTAATCCCTTCTTCAACCTCTCTCTCCCGTTTAACTGTAAGCATCCTTGCAATCTAGCACATTATGTAAATCACGTCAAAGTGAAGTAAAATAAAACCAAGAAGTAAATACATGAAGAAAAAGAACCTGCAATTTCTGAAGGGAAATGGGAAAATGAACATGATTATACACAGTGTTATCAAAAGTGAGATATCAGTTGTTTAGTACTGCCTCTTCAGAAGAGACTCGTTGGCGAGGAAAAGTAAACCTTATTAGCGCACAAATGATTGCAATACATTATAAAAGGTGTTATCTATATATACACACACATACAACCATAAGAGGCAAATAGTCTATCAAAACAAGCACCGGATATGTGAATAATGCTAAAACAAAGAACAGGAAAGAATCATAATACATATTGATAAAAGCATTTAAGACAAGTTTTGAACAACATTCAAACCACTTTAAGCTGGTTAAGCTGCTATTGTAGCGTCTGCTCATACTGAATAAATCACTATAGTCAATTAAAGAGAATCGGTTATGGGATTGATTAGACACCTCAGGCATAGACATCAGTATCTCTCAACTATGTCCTTTTTCGCAGTAGACTTTTACTGTGCACTTACTCCTCTTCCTTAATCATACACCCCATCTATTTTCAGTACTTGCTGCAGGATACAAGGAACACTTCCTTCTAAAACTTAAATGTCACAAATTGGATTTTATTTAAGACTCAAATTCACCATTCAAATAAAACTCATCACATATCTCAAGAATCCCGTGTGCGCTAAGCAGCAAAGGTATCTCTGCAGTGTTCCCATAATTAGGAACTGTTTCATTCTTCACACAGATATGCACCTAAATCTAATAATTGGAATGAGGTGACATTAAAAACAGTAGAGTGTTGAAAACTTCACAATTACTACTATCATTTAACAGTCAAATTTGCTAATTCCAAAGGTAAGAACTTCATACGCATTAAAAAATTAATATAAATATACAGCAAAAGCAGAGAAAAGAGAGATTACCCTTTTTCGCATTCGCAGAAACTCGCTGGACTTGAACTCATTTCGAGCGGACCTTTGAAGACGAAGCATAAATAGCTCTCCTTTAAGGTCCACAATCTCTTCCTGAAGCTCTTCAGTAGTCTTGGTTCTGATTTCCTTCAATTCCTCTTCCCTCTTCGCCATTTTCACCACCAAAGACGGACAAGAAGGAGGCGGCGCGTTTACTGCACGCGCCTGAATGATTTTAGGAATCTGAATGCCATGGAAGGAGGATTTGGAGAGGTTAATCTTGGAAGTGAAGGTAACACCTGAAGGTGAGGCAATGGAGAGGCTCATCATCCTTTCTCTTCTTCTGCTGCTACAGATAAGGGCTCTTCAGTCTTCATATTGGTAAATATAATATGACAAAATGACAAAAATGATCCCTTATGTTTTAGATAGTTTTAAAGTGATATCTCAAGTATATTTTTTGACAGTTCTGTTCTTTTTAAGTTTCTAGCACATTTGAATTCTATTATGATGATTAAGGGGAAATTACATGGTTAAGCAAATATATACTAATTAATTAATTATTACAGTCATCGTGACCACAATTTGTGATAATTATGTGAGATGAGGTTTTGAGTTTATATAATTTGCATGTTTGTATAATTCAAAATTTATATAATGTAATTAGTATAACTGTTTAAAGTTCAGATGTATGTGTTTGTATGAATTCGTTATTTTGAGTTTGTACAAAAATAGTTCAATTATACTAACGAACCCGTGAATTATACAAACGAGACAGCTTAAACTGTAACTATAGCCTGTAAATATGCAAACTATAGTTATGGAACATAATTAAATTTATTATAATGACTATTTGCTAAAATTTCTCTTTATTAAACGTGACTAGAAATACTAAAAAAAGTCACGTTAAAGTCCAAAATTCACATAATAAATCAAAATGTATCCTTCCGCGCCTAGTTTATTATTAGTATGGTTAAATTATAATATTTATACACATCGATTGTATATGTTGTGTATAATTTATAAATATGTATAATATATTACATAATGAATTGTCGGAGATCGTATCGATTTTTATCCGTTTGCATTTGGGCGTTTTTTAAATAGTGCATAATATTGGAATTTAAACATCTTTATAAAGAATTAGAATTTCAATATAATAGTGAATTACTTAAGATTCGAACTCGAAATTATATATGTATATATATGTATGTATACATATACATATATTATATGTTCATGTGTAGTTAAATTGTATATACTATATATATACATTTTATCTATGTATATATATATAGATGTATATATTATATATGTATATGTATACATCTATATATATATGTATATATATAGATGTATACATATACATATATATACAGATATAATAAATTTACATATACATGTTTTGTATATGTAAATTATATATACATCTATATATATACATAGATAAAATGTATATATATAGTATATATATATATATATATATAGATGTATACATATATATATACATATATATGTATACATATATATATATATATATATATGTATACATATATATGTATATGTAAATTAAAGGAGAGACATCAATTAGATTCACTGATTATAAATATACAGATCAAAAAGAAATAGAGGAAGACTTAGAAGATAATGAATCAACCATTAATATGGAAGGTATGAATATCCAAAATATAAATGAAGAAGACTACGAAGTAGACTTATCAATAGCACAAGCTAAAGAATTACATAAAGAAAATAAAACAACTTTGTTTAAGTGTAAAGGTTGTAAAATGGGAAAAATAGATATCTCTATAGTAGAAACACATTTTAGAGAATGCAAATTCAGAATAGATAATTATGGGTATAGACAAAAAGAAAACACCCAAGAAGAAAGTGATGATGAGACAACACGCAGTATAAAAGAATTCATGGAAACCGCTTCTTCTAGTTCAAGTCCTTTTCAAAAGACAACCCCCATAACACCAGTAGAATATACTATAGGAAACTTACCACGTCATCGGGTATATAGGCAAGACCCGGCAACAGAACCAGAAATGGTTAGACCAATAGGAATAAGAATGCCAATAGAAGCCCCTATCAAGCTTCAAGATGGAGGAGATAGAGGTAAGATACTAAACATAGCAGCTCATGATCCTCAATTATGGAACTCAGTAATAGATGTATGGAAAGGAATAGTAGTAGCAGATTACATACATCATTATAGTGAGACAGATGCAGAAACTATGTATAGATACATGGAAACCTTTTTAGGAGAATCAATCAAAGGAATGTGGGAAGCATACAAGGTAACCTACCCTCAAGAATTCCAAGAACTAGTAAATATGGGACCAAATCCATATAATTTCACTAATAAAATACACAGCCTAATAACAGGAGAAGACCCTAATAGTGGATTGGTAGTATTGCAAAAGAATGCATTAATAAAACTAGAACAACTTAGCATTACAAATTGGAGCCATATCAAAAACTTTCTAAAGGATTATTTTTATTTATGCGCTATAAGCGGCAATGCGTTTGATCAAAGCTTAGGAAAAAAGCTTTTTAATAAACTCCCTGGAGCATTAGGAAGAGAAATAGAAGAAAGATGGAGCAAAAGAGAAGGAGTTATGCAAAATCCAAATGTTA